ACGTCGGCCTGTGAACAGGGCCCAAAAGACAACATGTTAAGAAAACGACATGTCTAATGAGAGCAAGGACACGCTGCATGGGTGAAATACAATACTGCTTTAATTAATGACAGTGTTGAACCTAGACAAGTTTTTAGTATATCTACAGAAAACACTATTCATAAAAGTAATCACCAATTGAACAAACATGAGATTATTCACACAAGCAGTCAGAGGGTTCTGATCATTACTGGGTCTCTGGCCTGGAGCAAACAGCCACATGTAAAGTCACACCCACTGACACACAATAGTCCACAGTGCAAACACAGTATCAGATCCGTGGTTCCAACCGATGGGTATTCACTCACATAATGGGACACCAGAAAAAAAACAGAATTGATGGATGTCATGTCACATCAACTGCATTCATTATTCACAGGAGAATGAGGATATTGTTGTGTGCATTTGTGCAAGACGTTTGTACAATTGCGCATAGTTACCCAGATAATAAATTAAAATAATAATAAAAAGGAAACCTATTATCCAACAGTGCTTAACAAGAGAGGCCACATATCTCCCTACATTAACTTGAATCTAACATTCACTTATCACACACACACACACACAGCCATCCGTATTATCTATAGGGTGAAATATTATCCCTGGATGTGTGAACGAGTAAAAATAGCGAGAGATGCAGTTTAAAACGTGGACCTTGCATCATGCTCTCCAGCAACCTCAGAAAAAGCGCAGTCAGCAAACACTGACACTCATTTATGCAGGCTGCTAAAGTGACATCAACTTTAGTGTCAATTTAAGGGCACTAAAATTCACGATTTTTATTGACCTTTCACTAAGCCCACCTTAAAATTGAGAAATTCTACCCTTGATAGTTAAATGAATAAAAAAAAAACACTCAAAAAAATAAAATCTTATGTTAAACATTTTTTTATTTTATTCTAATTTAAGAAGTTATTTAAAAAACAAAACTAATAAAAACAGCCAACAAGTAAATAATTACTTATTCAGTTTTCATCACTAAAATTGCACCGTTCACATAAATCTCCAATTTCTTTTCCAATGAAATCATCTATAAAGCATTTCAGTTAACTTAGCAACTGTAACCAAGGTGGGCGGAACTTAGTAAAGGCTTACTCAAAAAATGTCACGATGATGCTAAAAATTCTAAACTATGTATATAT